TAAAATGGACTTGTGCTAGCTGATCTCCAAGGCCTTTCTACAAAAGTCAAGATGTCTTTGACTCTAAGTCCTTCTAATTCCACATTGTCATCCTACCCTTATCTCACACGCTTTGTTTCCCCAAACTGAGCAGTAACCTCTGGCTTCAAAGAGATAGGTTATATGCAGTGTCAAACAGAAGCAATGATTATAAGGACCAAAGAACCTTATTCATTGAACAATATATGCCTTATTTTACTTGTCAAAATGAGCAGAGAAGCTGGAGTCATTTCCATTCTCATCATGGTACCATTTCATAGCTGCAGCAATGCATTTGTGGTCCTTTCCTCTAAGAGTTTCCTTCAAGGTAGACTTCCTAGGGTGGGTTAAAGGGCAGGACAAGAACTCAGTTACCCACACTCCAACCCCTGGTTCCTCTATATCCTTCTGGCTAAAGTATATTAGATACTCGGTGTCAAAACATGTGTATGTTATTTTGCGTATTGAACTAAGGGTCATATGGTTTGGTTCTGAATTTTCCACTAATGAGATGCATGACCTTGGTTTCAAGTCACTTCTCTTCTGTGGCCTGAGTTTCCACATTTATGAAATGAGACTTTTGGACCGGATGGTGTCTAAGTCCTCTTCCAGCTCTAAACTTCTAGCTCCGAGTTGGGGAAAGAGACAGGAATGGCGGCAGTTTGGGGAGAATGTCTTTGGATTTGGGGGCAAAGTCTCACCATACAAAGATTTGTCCCCAATATTCCACCACTTAAACAGGCCTGACCAGCTGGGCCAGGACAGGACAAAGTCCCTCCATAGTGCAGCACTGTGGTAGTATCTCCCGTGCCTGGTGGAAGCCTTGGCTTTTGGTGGGTACGTGAAGTATTACTTAAATGGAGGATGGGGAGGCATATCAAGAAGTCTAAAATATGGTTCCTGCCCTCAGGGGGTTCACAACTGATTTGAGAAACACAAGGGCAACATTCCGAGGCCAGGAGTCCAGAGGATGTAAAAACCATCTTGAATATCCATTGAGTTCAACAAACTGTGGGCGCTTATTCTGAGCTCATGATTAGGGACATATACTCGTGGGTGGATGGCACCATCCAGGAGTTGGAAGAATGTCCTACAGGCCTTGGCTTGCTCCATCTTTTCCGGAGTCACCATTTTTTTCCCAGAAGAGTCTGTTTTCTCTCTCTCTTTTTTTTTTTTTTTGCAGTACACGGGCCTCTCACTGCCGTGGCCTCTCCCGTTGCGGAGCACAGGCTCCGGACGCGCAGGCTCAGCGGCCGTGGCTCACGGGCCCAGCCGCTCCGCGGCATGTGGGATCTTCCCGGACCGGGGCACGAACCCGCGTCCCCTGCATCGGCAGGCGGACTCTCAACCACTGCGCCACCAGGGAAGCCCTGTTGTTCTCTTTTTAAAATATCACTTGATTTTGGTCTTTGGATGACACACATTCAGCTCTGTCTCCACAGAATGCATGCAGCTGGAAGGGTGGGTAGACTGTGTATATAAGGACACACAAGAGGGAAAAGGAAGGTGATGTGGACAAGAGCGTTAACCAAAGTCTTGGGGTAAGAAAACACAAGATGTGTTCACAAGTCAACTGGTAAACCAGTTTGGCCATGAAGACTTTGGAAGAGGGGGAAAAAAAGAGTCAAAACCATGATTTGGAGTCCGATTATAAGTGGCATGATGTAATCAAAAAAGAGACCAAGGATAAATCTAGTGCTGCTGTATATTGTCTGTGTCCCTCTGAGCAAGTTATTTAATCTTTTTCAGTTTATACCTTCACATGGTAAAATGGGAGGAATAATACCAGTTTCACAGGATTTTGTGAGAATTAATAGAAACAATCTATGAAAAGCTCTTGGCACAGTAAAAATGAGCAATAAATGTTGATTTTTCTCAATCCCAGGCTCTTCCTCTCTCCACAGTGATTTCTTCTCCTCCAGGCACTGGGAAAGCAGCAAACTTGGTTTTGAGTTAGGCTCGGCCAGTTACAAAGGGTTTCATCTTGGTCAAACCACTTAACTGCCCTGACTTCAGTTTCTTATCTACCAAATGAAATTCACCACACTTACCTTTCAGGATTATTGTAAAGTTTAGAAATGTATGATATGAAGCAAACAACAGTACCTATCAGTAGGAGAGAGGCAGTAGGTTTCAGTAAATAATGGTGATAGGAGAAGGGAGGAGAAAGAGGAGTTGTGATCTTCGGGATTCTCGACCAAGGAGCCTGGACGTCTGTCTTGTTGGCAGTTGGGGTCTCTGAAGACTTTTTTCCAGATAGAGTATTATAAGATGAAATGCAGAGAATCTTGAGATGATGAGAATAATACAAGAATGGCTAGCATGTGCAGAGGGCAAGGGTGAACACCCTGGAGGTACGGAGGCCCACCTACGGAAGAGAAAACCCAGGCCTCTCCATGCATGTGCTACATAATCCTTTGATTAGCAAATGAATTGGTTCTAGTGAAATTCATCCATTCTCAAAATAGGAGAGAGACAGAGATAGAAATGGAGAGTGAGGAAGGGGAGAAGAAAGAGGCCCAGAGAAAGAGAGAGAGGCAGGGAGAGAGGTAGAAAGATACAGAGAGACAAGAGAGGGGAAGCTCTTTTCAAGGGCCTCTGGCTTTTTGTGTGAAGACATCTGGCACACAGCTGTGCTGGCTGGATGCAGGTGGCTTAAGAGAATTTGCATCCAGGTATAAATCTGACATCAACTGGCTTGAATTTTCAGCTGACGTGTGGGCTATTTTAAATAAAACTGGGGAATTGGTGTGGAGGTGGTGAGAACATCTCCACCAAGGTGTGCCCGATACCTGAGAACAGGACCTTCTCCGATGTCTTTGGATCACCTGCCGACCACGTCTCCCTCTTCCTGGTGCAGGAGGAGATATCCGGTCAGCAGCGTGCCCACTGAGCAGGCATCCCACACTTCCTTTCTGACATTTCCTTTAGTTTCGTGTTCAATCTGCTTGCTCTTTGCTTAGAAGACGGTGAGTTTGCTTTTGTGAGAAAGGTGTTTGGCTTAGCTTATTCTGAAAGCAGAATTGTCTTTAAGTTCAATTTATGTTTTTAATGTCATTTTTTTCTTTTTTTAACTAATCATTCAATAACTAATGGGCATCAATGACCTACAAAAGTCAGTTCCTGTTGCCACAGTTGTTACAGCCGTAAAGCCTGGTGCCTGGTGTGACTGGATTAGAGAAGGCAGCTGGTACCTGTGCCTATCCAAAGCCACCAGGAGGAAATGGGGGCGCTATGGAGCAGCACTTTGAAAGGCTCTCAGATCCTGGGGTAGAGCTTCCTGTGTCTAGCCTAAATCAGGACTACTGTGGATCAGTAGACTTTGTGGATGACAACTTAATAAAAATGTTAATCTGACCATCCCCCAAAGAACAATACCCTGTATTGTCCTCTATGAGTTTTTCTCAGCCCACCTTACAGTTCTGAAAGATCCTGTTGTCCTGCTAAGATGTTTGGAAATGGTTGACCTGCAAGAAGCCACCCAGGGACCCTTTTTTTTCTGGGTGTGGGAATGTTTGTTCTAGTATAATGTCTCTTTCTTATTTTGAAGAACTTTTTTTTTTTTTTTTTTGTGGTACGCGGGCCCCTCACTGCTGTGGCCTTTTCCGTTGCGGAGCACAGGCTCCGGACGCTCATGCTCAGCGGCCATGGCTCACGGGCCCAGCCGCTCTGCGGCATGTGGGATCTTCCCGGACCGGGGCACGAACCCGTGTCCCTTGAATCAGCAGGCGGACTCTCAACCACTGCGCCACCAGGGAAGCCCCTTGAAGAACTTTTAATGAAATATCTCATACGTCAAAAGTATATATATATATATATATATATATATATATATATATATATGTGATATTACTTTTGTGTTTTTATATAATATATAAAAATAATATGAACACTCATGGGTACCCAGCATCTATCTTAAGAAATAGAATATTATAGAGTACTATCAAAGGCCCCTGTGTGTCACACCTCATTCATATCCCTCTTCTAACCTTTCCCATGTATTTTTGGTCCTTGCCTTACTTTTCTCAAGAGTTTGAACATAGTCGGCCGTCCATATTGATCCGTGGTTGGTTGAATCCGTGGATGCAGAATCCGCAGATACCAAGGACCCACTGTGCGCTGCCATTTTATATAAGGAGCTTGAGCATCCGGAGATTTTGGTATCTGAGGGGGTCCTGCACCAAAACCACCCCTCAGATGCCAAGGGAAGAGGGACAACTGTATATATATATCCTTAAATAATATATAGTTTTTCTTGCTGTTGACTTTTATATAAATGGCATCAAACTGGATATGTTCCTGTGCAACTTGCATTTTTTGCATGAAATCTTGTGAGATTAAACCATCTTGATTGATTAAATATCCATTTGTTCATTTCCTGTGTTACATAGTATCCCATTCCATAGATATACTATAATTCATTTATCCATTATCTGTTGATAGATTTTTGGGATATTACTTGATATTATAAAAATAGCAAAGTTGGGTTTTTTAACAATTACAAATTCTGATGCTATGAATGTGTTATGCACATGTCTCTTTGCACGTGTGGAAAAGTTTCTCCAGATTTTGTAAGTTGGGGTGATATTGCTGCATCAAAAGCTATGAACATATTCTACTTCATTAAATATTTCTAAGTGTTTTGCAAAGGGGATGTACCGGTTTACACACCTAACATCAGAGTATGAGTCTCCATTGATCCCATCCTTGGTAATATTCATTGCCCAACTTTTGTATTTGCCAGTCTTGTCGGTATAAAATGGCGGCTCTTTCTGGTTTTAACAGGCATTTCCTTGATTACTTAGGAGATGAAATGTTTTTCATACTTTTTGCTCAGTGCTGCTTCCTCTTTTGTGTTGAATTCCTTGTGTGTTTCCGATACATCTCCATCCATTCAGCACAGCTCTGTATGTGGCTGCGTTAGCGTAAAAAAGGGAGCGAAGGCATGTGTTGACTGCGGCGTGCTGCTTTTCTCTTTGAAGGCCCCGAGGAATCAGGAAGTGGGCGCTATGGACCCCATTATATAACCGACACAGAAGTCAGCGAGGATGACACATATGAAGATGACTTAGATTTGGATATTTCCTTTGAGGAGGTAAAGAAAAGTACTGCTTGAAAACCTGGGTGTTTTTGTTTCCTTGCTGAACAAGGTGATTTAGTCAATGGACCACTAACGTTTTACTTAAAACTTACTTAACTTGGCTCATCTGCTTTTAACACATTTATTTCCTCTGACTATTAGGCACCAGGTGATCATAAATTAATAGTAACTAGGTATCAACCATGCTGATGCTCTGTAGTCAGTTCCTGCCTGCTGACTTCACAATCTGGCAAAAACGTATTTAGATTCCCACCAAATGAAATTTTATAAACTCAGTTTTTATAAGGAAATGAACAATTCCTTGACAAGGTAAATGCATCTTCGTGATATTGTAATAATAATAAATCACATAATATCAGCTTTAGCAGTGATTTTTCTGAGTAATACAGGAGAAGGTACTTAAAATCCTTGAGCCTCAAGTTCTTTATCCATAAAACTGGAGTCAGTACTATTTGTCCTCTGTACATTCCAAGGTTTTGGTAAGTATCAAAAGTGACTATATTTTCAAGTGTTAGGCGTCAGCTATAAATAAGGCAGTCTAATTACCGTGCTCTGTGTTAATCCTGAACTTCTTTTCCTTCTCTGTCTTCAGGTTAAACCGCTTCCTGCTATCAAAGAAGGGAATAAGAAATTTTGGGTGGAATCCAAGATGGCGCCCAGATCGAACCCGATGACCGTTTCTAGGCTTGTCCCCGCTACCCCAGCATCTCTCCCCATGACTGAGGTGGCTCCTCAGCCCACTCCAGTGGAGAGGAAAGGGAAGAATGGTGCGGCTATGATGCCAAGGCTTTTTGACGTGTCTTGTGATGAAATTCTCTGCTCTGCTGACAGCTTTTGTGTCAATGACTACACCTGGGGGGGCTCTCGATGCCACTGCAACCTGGGCAAAGGTGGTGAGAGCTGCTCAGAAGGTAGGCCCTTGGGTGGTTGGGTGGGGAACATGGTCATGCGTTGGCCCTACTGGGAGCCAGAGGGCAGTTTTGCATCCACACATGGTTCCTTCAAGTCCTTTTTCTAAGATAAGCCCCTTCTCCCATGTTTTAGTCACTAAATCAGCTAGCTAGCTACACAGGGCAAATGTGAGGCAACTTCCATTGCTTCTAGGTAGATAGCAGCCCTATTCTTACATGTGCCAAACATGTAGTCCTTTTGGAGCAATTAATAAGTCACCCTGATGGCATCTTGGGGGTGGGCTTACTTTGATCACACCTCTGCTGAGCCAACTTACATCACACAGATGTACAGCTAGGAAGCAGGTGTCAGCGGCCTTCAAGCCACTTAAAGATTTCTCTTTAGGGTGGCAAGTAACCAGCTCCAAAGATCCAGTTTCTCCCTAAGAATTTCAGAAGCTCAAAGTCCCCAGGAATGAGAATCCTGGGGGTAAAGAGTAGAGTGAAGAAGACGGCAAGCTAGGTTTAACAGACTGTCAGGGGTTTTTACTTAATGACATCCAGGCAATGGTGTGTACTGATTTTTTTGCATTTGAAGTGAGGAAACAGCATGCTTTGGTTTTGTCTTTTTCTCTTTTCAGATATTGTTATACAGTATCCTCAGTTCTTTGGCCACTCCTATGTAACCTTTGAACCTTTGAAGAACTCTTATCAGGCATTTCAAATTACTCTTGAATTTAGGGTAAGAAGGGTTAATCCTTTGATCAGTGCTTACTGGACACCGTAACACAGCAGTGTACTACATCAAAGGGAGGAGGAGAGGGGAGAGGAAGCAGGGGGTAAACCCATTCACAGGTTAGCGAGAACGATGGGCACACTTACACACTCAAGGGCGGCAGCAAAGGGAGGGTGGGTTCTGTATGTTACTGAACTATGGAAATGGTTGGCCTGAAGGTTCCCAGGAAGAATATTTGGGTCCCACACATGTTGCTCGTGTTGACTGAAAAAAAAAATGCATAACCTAAAAGTTGAGAATTATGTTTTATTCAGCAAATTTGCTGAGGACTTAAGCCCAATAGCTCTAAGGGGCTGTTCCCCGGGCTAAAGTCCTCAGCAAGTCCACCAAATAAAACATAATCCTCAACTTCTGGTTGTGCATTTTTTTTTTCGGTCAACACTCATAATAGTGACACTTCTCAGACCAGGATTTCAGAAGGTATAAATGCATTCTCCAGCCCAAAATTCCTTTTAAAGGAAGCCCAAACAACGTTCATGATTATGACTGTAACTGAACAGATAGAAAAATGACTATATGCAACCCTGGCACACAGTGAGGGCCCAATAGATGCTCTCTGATCTGAATCAGCTGTGGATCAGAATTCATCGCCTTCAGCTTAAAGTGATCCTTTTGGGTATCTCAGATGACAGGAAAAGGTTTGGAGATATGGAAACAAGTCCCCTTCAGGTCACGGTCAAAGTGTTGAGGGTCCAAAAGATGATCTGTCCCAGTCTAGGACAGACAACATGGGTGAAAACTAAACTAGTCCATGGGCTGTTTGTATTGTCATGTTCTCCTAATGGAAGGAAGGAAGCAAATTTGCATGGGAAATTTTTTTAAAAAAGGAAAAACTAAAATGCTCTTTGGTGAGAATAGAATTTGATGAGCATGAGAGAAGGCCCCTGTGTGACTGCGGTCTTTGTGCACATGGTTTCCCAGAGCCTCTGCTGGTGGATCCATGAAGCCAAGTAAAGAGGGGGTCAGATATGGGGCCACCTTCCTCTCACGTCACTGCAACATTCCTCATACACTGTTTATATCGCTGCCCTCTGCTTATTGAAAGTGAACTGGGACTAGGTACCTGGGAAGTAATTGGAGTCCACATGCTTGTAAATAGGAACACAGTGGAGATGCTCAAGTTTCGTATTCATGAGTGTTTCCAGGTGGCCCTTTATGGAGGAAGAGGCGCTCATTGTCCGTGTGGCTTTCGTTCCTATAATGACAGGCAGAGGCGGAGGATGGCTTACTGCTCTACTGCGGGGAGAATGAGCACGGGAGGGGGGATTTCATGTCCCTGGCTGTCGTCCAGCGCTCACTCCAGTTCAGGTAACTCCTGCCAAAAACCCCTCAGATTTTTAATACTACCCTATGTTATGTTTTCCTTTTTATAGTGTGAACAAAATCTGTACACAATGGATCCCTGTAAATAAAGGAACGGTGTGTGTAAGATGAGCATGGACCAGTTTACTAAATACTGGGGTATCAGGATTGCAGGGTTGCCCCTCAAATTTGAGTTTGGAACCTTGTAATCATTTATTCATTCAACAGCAAATGTTTCTTGAGCCGCCACATTGTACCAGGCACTGCTGCAGCGCCTGGGAATGTGGCAGTGAGCCAAAGCGATTGAGTCCCTTCTCTCCTGGAGCTTCGGTGGATGCGATGGGCAGAAGGCTGGGACTTCCACCTTGTCCCCTGCGGTAGGTACAGCTGACAGCGCAGAGCCCAGAGAGGAGCCCCTAGCCTCCTAAGCGTTTCCAGAGGCTCAGGCCCCATCCTCGTCTTTCCTCGGGGCTGTGGTGGGCTATTTGACTTACCTCCTCTGCCCTGATCATTTGTGTCCCAACGCACCTTGGAAGCCACCTTTGGTTTATGTGTGGTTTTCTGCGCACAGAGCTCTGTGGACGTGTGAGTGTTTTAACCACCCTCACGGAGGTGCACACGGCGCCTATTAGAGGACAACCAGTGGGGATCAGCTGGGTGCTTCTCCATGGCTCACTGATTAAGATCCTGATGACACTATTCTCCTGCGGCCTGACCGTCAGCAAATGACTTAACCTCTCCGAGCGCATGTTTCCTCCCAGGGCTACTGTGGGCATTAAATGCATGAAAACATGAGGGTACTTAGAGCAGCGCCTGACCCGTAGCAAAAGCACTCAGTAAGCACCAACCACGATTGTCTTTTCACTATTTTAGCACAAAAGTTACTTTCGGTTAAGAAGGATGAGACTGTCAAGCATCTCACGTGGGGTAGAAAATGCCCCCACCCCCGTCCCCGCATCCTTTGCTAAATGCATTGATTGATGGGAGATTGAGGTCAGCCAGCAGGATCTGGGGCAGTGGCCCTAACCTTATGTGGATCTAACCCTTGGAGGATCTGATTGACTCCCGCTAGCCCCGCTGGTTATTTGCTGGTAGCAGCTCTCCATCTCTGCAACTCCTACTGCGTGATTCTGAGATCCCCCCCGCTATGTGAGCCTGTTTTGCGACGCCTCTCCACCCCATTCCACTCCACTGACGATCAGGAGACAAAGGGAGGCCATGAGAAGTGGGCTGCAATTAGTGCACATCCTGGCAACACCCGCCATACTTCCTTCCCCACCGGCAGTCTCAGAACTCATGGGGGACATGGCACGGTGGCTGCTTGGAGGTTGCCTGGAAAAGGTCAGAATCCTACATGTCAGGCATAGTGACCAGAGGGCACCCCAGGCCATACGGAGGTTGGGAAAAAAAACAAGAATAATGCAACTGTCTGAGAATGCTCGTTCTCCACCCACACCCCCTCTGAGCTGGAGACTCCCATGGAAACCATCCCTGCACTCAGGCCCAGCTGAACACAGATGGCATTGCTGGCCAGCTTGTCAAAATGAGTGTGAAGACTTGGTTTCTTTTTCTTTTTCTTTTACATTTTATTAACATCACTGAGCCTGTCATTTCGGAGTTGTGGGAAGTCCCCAGAGAAATCCCCGGAAGCAGAATGATTCAAGCTCTAAGTCTCTGCACCTTGAGTCCATGTTCAGCATCTGGTCATTGCTGAGAAGGAGAGAGAAGATCTTAGTTGCCCAGGATTCTCTAAGCTGCAGAGAAAGTTGGGTTAAAGGAGACTCCACACTGAAAGGTTCTATGGGCAGATTAAAGACAACCAGGCTGAGGAGGTCCCAGGGAAGGAGGCGTCTAGTTCTTCCATGTGTAGATTTAAACAGCTCTTGATATTTGTAAACCTAACTCTGAACAGACTGGCTCTCCAAGAAGCCATTACCCTGGAAGTGATGTCCATGGAGTCTGAAAACATAATGAACTGGTTGATCTAAGAATTTTCCTTTTCTTTTCTTCTCCCACAGGTTTAACTGTGGAACTGGGCTTGCCATCATCGTAAGTGAAACCAAAATCAAGCTAGGGGGCTGGCACACGGTTACGCTCTACAGAGATGGGCTGAACGGGCTGCTGCAGCTGAACAACGGCACCCCGGTGACAGGCCAGTCCCAGGTGAGTGCGAGCCTCACTCCCTGCCCCCCTGCCCAGCACGCGCCACAAGCACCCTGGCAGGGTCCCACTGCAGAGAGCTGACAGCCCTGGCAGATGGGCTGCTTTTCATGGCAAACCCATGCAACCTGGCTCTGATGTGACCCTGCCGGCTTTCCACCCTAGGTGGGCTTTCAGGGCACGTGTCCATCCCACATGTACCAAGGAGAAGGGTGACTGCCAGCATCATGGCCCTGGGTGCACAGGGACATGCAGTAGGCTCTGTGCCTGGGGACGTGTTCTCTTTCTACAAGGACATCAATGCCAGGGGGTGGAGGAAGGCCCATATTGGAAGAATTGAAGCCATTATTACTGCCAAACACAAAGCTTGCTTTTAAGGCAGAGGTGTTGCAATCCTGTAGCTATAGAAAATCGTCCTGAAAGTTTCACTTGGTTCAATATTCAGGAGTAATCCATTCATCCACCTTTTTGGGGCCATGATTATAGGAAGTGGTAAAGCAGCGTAACTAGGTATTCACACATTTGTCATGCTCTGAGCAAGTTTAGGACTGTGTTTAGAATAAACAGCTGGGATTAGCAACCTGCCAAGGAACCGAGCCTGTAATTCTAATCAGGCAAGCATCTGTATTCTCTGAGGAAAAAAGTAGCAAAGAAGCCTTTGTGTATATGTGTATAGCTTTCTCCTTGCCCGGGCTCTTCACTATTCTTTGCTGACAAGACATGTTATATTAAGGGTCATGACTTGCTGATAAAAAAAAAAAGAATAGAAAAAATAAATCTCATTCATTTGAATCCCAGTGGTTCCAAAAGAACAAGAATCCAAATAGAGTGAATGTGAATCCAGGAAGATCATTTATGCAGATATGCATATATTTCTAAGGAAGGGAAAGATGGGATAAATGCACTGCAGAATCACGTAAACGCCAGAACAATAGGCCTACTGTGGTTAAAATTAAATTTGACAGGAATAAAGACATTTTGAACTTGGGTCCAAAATACTAACATGAATACAGGTGGAGAAGCTGTAACAGAAGTAACACATGTGTAAATGTCTTATGGTTTAAAACAAGGAAATTCAATAAAGGTTAATAAATAGGGCCATGTGATAACAACAAGCTAAAGAAATTATAGGCTGCATTAATAGAGGCATAGCATCTAGGAAAATGGAGGTGATAATCCTATTCTATTCTGGTGCCTATGTGTGTAGTTTGCAGTACTCTAACAGGGACTCTAATCCTCGAAGAGGATTGCCTTCCGAGTATATGATTTTAATGCATGTAAGCATTAATTACAAAAAGCATATGATTTTGTGGATACTCAGGGCAACATCTGCCTCTCTACGACCAAGACTTGCTAAGCAAGTTGTATAAGCAGGACCTCAGATGTGGAATGTTTGAGAAAACTGTCTCAAGAGATAGTGACTCTGTCTTAAGTCAGGGTTCCCCCAAAACAGACCTGAGATGAGGAGTCTTATGCAAATGATGCACGAAGAAAGGGGTCCCAGGGCTTCCCTGGTGGCGCAGTGGTTGAGACTCCGCCTGCCGATGCAGGGGACACGGGTTCGTGCCCCAGTCCGGGAAGATCTCACATGCCGCGGAGTGGCTGGGCCCGTGAGCCACGGCCGCTGAGCCTGCACGTCCGGAGCCTGTGCTCCGCAACGGGAGAGGCCACAGCAGTGAGAGGCCCGTGTACCGTGCAAAAAAAAAAATAAGGGATCCCATAGGAAACCTGTAAGAGAGGGGGTTAAGACGAACGGGGGAGGGGCAGAAGTCAGTAAGAGTGAGATCTCAGGCAAAGTTCATCAGGATCTGGCTTTAGCCTGATCCCACAGGGGAGCTCTGGCATGCAAGTAGTACCACGGAGTGATGCCAACCCAAAGCAAGGGAATTGGACTTCCACACTTAAGCACCCATTAAAACTTGTTAAGGGCTGTGCCAGGGGACTGCAGACTCCAGGATACCACCAGTTCTCTGCATGGGCAGGCAAAGCAGCCTCCAGAGGCCCAAAGACAACCCTCATTAGAGGAAGGTAAAGGCTAGGCTCAAACACTATTGCCTGGGATGTTGTGAAGGGAGCTTCAGAGGAGCTACCCACCCCTCTGATGCACTTAATGTTCCAAACAAGGAGAAAAGGATTTAGCTGTTGGGCTCCTGCTGTGGTCCTGGATCAGGGAATAGGGCCAGAAGGGTGAGGAAGGGATCCAGAAGAAGTAAATCCTGAGGATCTTGGTGAAATAAGCCAACAGGGCACTCAATTCATCTCACGAAAGCTGTATGCCAGTGGCTGGCAAAGAATTAATCCTTAAAATCCACTGTAAATACTTTAAAGCTGCCTAGCTCATATTTACTATACTATTTACAACTGATTCTTATCTATTCATTAGAAAAGCAATGATTAGATGTTTTACTTACTGATAACAGAAGTATAAAGGGTAAAGATTACATTTCAGTGGCTTACATTCTAGACATTTTATAACTTCTCGCAGCATACCTTTTCCCAACCTCCTTCTCTACCCTTTAATCCAAGCAAATGAGATATTTCTGCAATAAAAATAACAAATAACCAAGAGCACCTTAATTCTGTCCCACCTAATGTTCAGCTCTGTATTTTGTAACCTCAAAATCTACAATCCAGATTGTGGTTTAGTCTAAGACTGGAAATGTCCCTACTTAGCTGTCATAACACTTTAAAAAAATTGTATCCATGAGCAAATTTCAAAATATTTTGCAACTCAGTCTTGGCAATTTCCCTCTCCCTCGCAAATGCCTCTTGCAGGATATAGTATAAAGGTGACTAGGACAGTAAAAGGGTAAACGTTAGCCCACGTATACACAAAATTAGCATTATCACCTTTTGAGACACAGAATAGCCCTATGACCCATCCAAGATACACAGTAAATTGGTGTCAGGACTGGAAAGAGAAAGTTTTTTTTGGGATGCCCATCGTGGTACACTGCCTGTTGGGTTGCTCCTGGCTCTAACCCACCTTCCCTTCCCTTCTAGGTTCCAAAATCATCCCTTCTCGAAAGACAGCCCTCTGAGAAGCTCTCTTGAGTTTTCTGTGGTAACCGTGGGTTTAATTTTCCAGTAGGACAGTAACTTAAATACAGATGGAAGAAAACATTGGTGCTATAAATTGCATCTTAACCGTGTCCCTCATGAAAACCTGTTGTGTTTTAGCTTTTGACTTTGTGTAGTGAGTTACTGTTTTCATCTTTCTTAAAGGGCCAGTACAGTAAAATTACCTTCCAGACGCCTCTCTATCTTGGTGGGGCTCCCCGTGCCTACTGGTTGGTGAGAGCAACAGGGACAAACCGAGGCTTTCAAGGCTGTGTACAGTCACTCACTGTTAATGGGAAGAGAATGGACTTGAGGCCCTGGCCGCTGGGGAAGGCACTCAGCGGGGCCGATGTGGGTAAGTGGTTGCCCAGTGGGTGGGATGCTCTCGTGGGACTGCCTTTCTGCTTTGGGCCAGGGTGGGGAGAAGCTTCATGGGCTACAACCCTAGGCAGATGGTTAATGCAGAGCTTTAGGAGGGAGGTGGGCCTGAGGGGTGAGGTTGGTGCTCTGAAGACATGATGACCTTGAATCTGAACACTCAGATGTGGTAAATAAGACCAAGGGTGGACCAAACCCTTGGTTGTGTCCTGCTGTCATCTTGGCCCTCTTCATGAAACGCAGCCTGGTCTCATCTGACAAGGCAACAGCATTTCAGCCCTTTGACCCTTCCTCACCCAGTCCAGTGGAAGAACCAACACTATAATGTAGAAAGATCTTTCATATACTCTTTGCTTCTAAAAGAAATGGCCACATTCCAATTCTTGACCACCGTGCCAAACACGTTCTTGACGCCCTCTCATTTATTCCTCATACTGACTCGAGGAGGTAGAGATTATTATTATACTTATTTTACACATGAAGACACTGGGACTTGTAAAAGTTAAAGAACTTATCTAAAATAGGGCAGAACTAGGATTGTGGGTTTTTTCTATTTTCCTTTTTTTAAATTAAGATTATTTTTTGAGTAGTTTAAGGTTCACAGCAAAATTGGGGGGAAGGCACAGAGATTTCCCATATGCCCTCTGGTAGCCCCCCACCCCCCAATTATCAACATCCCCCATTGGAGTGGTATATTTGTTACAATTGATGACCCTGTTGACACATCATAATTGCCCCAAATCCATAGTTTACATTATGGTTCACTTCTAGTGTTTTATGCTCTATGGGTCTGGACAAATGTATACTAACATATATCCATCATTATGGTATCATACAGAGTATTTTCACTGCCTTAAAATTCCTGTGTGCCCTGCTTATTCATCTCCTCCCCCCATCTCCAACCCCTGGCAACCACTGATCTTTTTATATTCTTTATAGTTTTGCCTTTTCCAGAATGTCATATAGTTGGAATCATACATTATGTAGCCTTAATAGATTGGCTTCTTTCAGTTAGTAATATGAATCTAAGTTCCCTCCATGTCTTTTCACAGCTTGATAGCTCATTTGTTTTTAGCACTGAATAATATTCCATTGTCTGGATGGACCACAATTTATCTGTTCACCTACTGAAGGACATCCTGAGTGCTTCCAAGCTTTGGTAATTATCAATAAAGCTGCTATAAACATCCAGGTTTTTGGGTGGACATAAGTTTTCAGCTCTTTTGGGTAAACACCCAAGAGTGTGATCGCTTGATCATGTGGTAAGAGTATGTTTAGTTTTGTAAGAAACCACCAAACTGTGGACTGTATCATTTTGCATTCCCACCATGAATGTATGAGAGTCCCTTTTGCTCCACATTCTTGTTAGCATTTGATGTTGTCTGTGTTCCATATTTTGGCCATTCTGATAGGTGCATAGTGGTATCTTGTTGTTGTAATTTGCATTTCCCTGATGACATATGATATGGAGCATCTTCTCACATGTTTATTTGCCATCTATATATCTTCTTTGGTGAGGTATCTGTTAAGATCTTTGGCTCATTTTCAATTGAGTTGTTTGTTTTCTTATTGAGTTTTAAGAGTTCTTTACTTATTTTGGATAACAATTCTTTATCAGATGTGTCTTTTGAAAATGTTTTCTTATCTGTGGCTTGTTTTCTCATCCTCTAGACATTGTGTTTCACAGAGCAGAAGTTTTTAATTTTAATGAAGTTCAGCTTATCGATCATTTCTTTCATGGATTCTGTCTTTGGTGTTATATCTAAAACGTCGTTGCCTTACCCAAGGTCATCTAGGTTTTCACCTATGTTATTTTCTATGAGTTTTATAGTTTCATGTTTACATTTAGGTCTGTGATCCATTTTGGGTTAATTTTTGTGAAGGGTGTAAGGTCTGTGTCTAGATTCATCTTTTTTTTTTTTTTTTTTTTTTTTGTATGTGGAAGACCAGTTGTTCCAGCACCATTTGTTGAAAAGACTAGGATTATTTTTAAAGAAATAAGGACATTTATTCCATCACTGAAGGCAGCAGATAGATAATTCTAAGGTTGGTTAAGTCAATGACTGTTTTAGTCAGCTAGGGCCACCGTAACAAAATACCACAGACTGGGTGGTTTAAACAACAGATATTTATTTTCTCACAGTCCTGGAGGCTGGAAATCCAAGATTAAGGTGGTGTCACGTTTGGTTTCTCCTGAAGCCTCTCTCCTTGGCTTGCAAATGGCCACCTTCTCACGGTGCCCTCACATGGCCTTTTGTCTGTGCTTGAATCCTGTGTCTCTCCCTTTTCTTACAAAGACACCAGTCAGATTGGATTAGGACCACTCACATGACCTCATTTAACTTTCATTCCCTCTTTAAATGCCCTGACTCCAAATACAGTCACATTGGGACTTAGGGCTTCAACCTATGAATTTTGGGAGGACACACTTCAGTCCCTAACAGTGACTCAATGACGTTAGAACTCTGGGTTGGTATCTCAGTGGTTCTCTTGTTTTTCACTCATAATCCCAAGGTGGTGCCACAACCCTGAGCATCACATCCTCATATGACATTGTTATTGCAAGAAATGGCAAGTTCCTTTCTTGGGTCTCTTTGTTCTCCATCTTCAAGATGTCATTTTGAAAGAACGCATGGTGAATACCACGTGCGCACAATCTAGCTCTACCATTCACATTTGCCTGCGTTTGCTCTACCACATATGATCCTATTCCACCCTCTCTCCATTTCTGAGTCAGAGCTAGGATTCGATCTTCATGACTCCAAGTACAGTTTGCTTGTTTTGTAGCTAATATTAGTTGAGCACCTACTACATGTAGCCACCATCCAGAACTACTTTAATCTTCTCGAGATTCCTACAAAGTAGGTGCTATGATTAGTCTTAGTGTTTACAGATGAGAGCTGGTGGTTCAGAGCAGTTAAGTAACTTGCCTAAGGTCACACAGCTAGTAGGTGGCAAAGCTGGTAAATGGTGACCTCAGCAGTTCTTGCACCAGTGCCTGCCCTCTTAACCACATCTGCCACGTCAGAGGCTCCCGAATTGGTTTCAAATTGCTTCCTTCTACTTTTCTCACTCCTAAAGGTGACACCATTGTTAAAACTACAAAAGATGGAGTTTACTTGAAAGGAAAAGATTACTCTCCACCTGTTATTCCCTATGTTACTTTTTCCCTCAATTGATCACTTGGTCAAAGCAAACAACAGTAGTGACTAAAGCTATTACAAAGGCTCCCGCTGTGGTAAGGTGAGAACCAGCAAGCCCACGAGAAGTCTCCTGTGCTGTTGAAGAGTCTGGACTCTGAAGGCAGATTGCTTGGATTTGGCAGGTCAGTTAACCTCTTTGAGACTCAGTATCCCCATCTATAAATAGTAACTGCCTCATAAGATTATTTTGTCCGGATGAGTCACGGTGCACATAGAGTACTTAGAATAAAGCCTTGCACAGCAAATATGTTGTAAGTGTTTCCTGTTGTTGATGTTATTATTAATAATCTGACTCTACCAATCCACAGGGTATAAGTTGTTTCTTCTCTCTTCATTGAACTCACAGGGAAACAGCCCTGAAGGACAGATCTGGCAGTCTTGTAATCTCTGACAGGTAGTTAAGAAGTTGCAAGATTGAGTAAGGGCCAGTTTCTGACAGCGTTTTAAGTTCTCACCCGGTACAATACTAACCACTCCATGGAGCAGATGAACCCGGAGGACCCACCTTGCTGGCTCTGGGATCCCTGGGAGCAGCTATTGGATTATTCCGTTGCTCTCTGTCAACCTTAGTGGCAGGCACTGGTCACATGGCCTTTTTTTTTTCCATTTCTTCCCATTTTCCCCCCTGGGGTACAAGAACAGGGCTGGCTATCCTTCCTCACCTCCATATTTGCTTTCCTTTGAATAAGTCCTCTGGAAGTTCAAGTTCCTATAACTTAAATGCAGTCTCACCATGGGGGAGACTGGGCTCTTGGAAACAGCGGTTAATTTCCCATGGAGATGCAGGCTTCCAGAAGAGGGTGAGGACAGTTGCAAGTCATGGCTCCTTCACTCTGATCTCTAACTTGGCCTTGCCGGCTTCAACCACAGTTTTTTCTCTGTCCCACCTCCCCAAACCCAAGAAACCTGTTTCCAAGGGGCCTTTCATTACTCGACCCCTCCCACCTCATCTCCTTCATTAAATTATGTCCAGCTATTGGATTCTCTGTGAACTCACATTCTAGAATAGTCAGCAAAATTTTGTATTCTCTGGCCCAGACTTTTCTTTTATTATTTCCACCCAAATTCTCCAACCTAAGCCACCACCACTCATTTTTTCCAATCCCTTCTTGGATCCCCGCCCTGCAGTGTCACAGAGCCAACTTCCCAAGTTATTCAAGACTCATGAGGTCTGCAGGGGCCACGGGTCTCACTATGGCTTATCACTCTCTTACTCTTTCTTCCACTTGGTAAATACTGATTTAAGCTCCTGTGCTGGTCACAGCACCGGGTGCTTAAGATAAAGCAATAAACAAGACAGGATCTCAGCTCATCCCTCCCGTCATAACTCTCCCTAGGAGAGACCAAATTAATCAAATAAACATCACAGACATAAATGTAAAATTACAATTTGGACTGTTACAAAGGGGAAGTGCAATACTAATGTATAATAGGGAGATTTATGGGCTGGGGGTCAGGAAAAGCATTTCTGAGGCTGGAATGTGAAGTTGATATCTGAAGCAAGAGTAGGAGTTAAAAAGCAGAGATGAGAGGGAAGTGCATTCCAGGCAGAGGAAATGCCCTGTCCCAGTGGGAGTATGAGGGGAGGTGGGTCTCATGATCTTGTCTGTGTTTTGCAACGATCCCTCTGACTATAGACAGCTTTTTGGAAAGGGTCTTCATGGGGGGCATGTAGACCAGCTGGGAGGCTGTGCAAGAGTTCAGATCAGAGATGATGGTGGTTTGATCCAGGGTGGTGGTGGTGACACACTTGACAGATCCTTAGGATGGGAAATAGACAAGCCTCACTGTTGCGCTGGATTGGGGGGCGAGGGGCGGGGAGGCTCCTCGCCTTCCGTGGGCTTCTTAGTGTATTCCACTCCACCTTCTCTTCCATCCTTGGGAGCCTGATCTCTCTCCTGCCCCTCACTTCATTTTCTTGCATAAACTTACATAACAGCTGGTGTATAGGAAGTATCAGTGTCAATAAAAGTTATTTTATATATTGATGATGCGGTCCTGCCAGCTCCCTGTACACATGATCTGGCACCTCCTTCCTCCTACTCTCAGAGTTGAGAGTTCTCCTTTCTCAGACTAACCTTTTCATCTACACTCTGCACCCATCCTTCCCTACGTTCCTGGGACCTTGCTGCCGAGGTTGTCACTTCTCAATAACCCAAGGCTTCTTAAGCTTTTGTATGCCATGGACCCCTTTGGCAGTCTGGTGAAATCTATGGACCTCTTCTCAGAAGCATGTTTTCAGGGCTTCCCTGGTGGCGCGGTGGTTAAGAGTCCGCCTGCCGATGCAGGGGACACGGGCTCGTGCCCAGGTCCGGGAAGATCCCACATGCCGCGGAGCGGCTGGGCCCATGAGCCATGGCCGCTGAGCCTGCGCGTCCGGAGCCTATGCTCCGCAACGGGAGAGGCCACAGCAGTGAGAGGCCCATGTATCACAAAAAAAAAAAAGAAGGATGTTTTCAAATGCAGATAATAAATATACATGATAGGAAAAAATTATATTGAAATAAAGCTATATAGTAAAGTTCTGTTATTATAGTAATGTATGTGCTTCTTTATAAAGCATTAAAGAACAGGATTCTTCAATGGTGGGTGCAGTAACGACCATGCTCTCAAAGGAGCGATGAGAATAAATGGTGTTTTGAGATACCCGCAGCAAATGGAAAGTGATTCGCCCCATTCTCAGGTCCATTGGGCACAATTCACAAGAACTGCTAATACTGGAGATTCGTTACCTCCGTTAATAAGTAAGGGAAATACTCAAGTCCAGTTAGAGATCATGGAAAATAAAGATAAAGGTTTTTCCCCATCAAAGTTCATGGACGCCTTGCTCTAGCTTATTCACACCCACTCAGGTCCTCTCCAGCTTCAACCAGTGCCATGTTTCCGTGAGCCTGGACCCTTCTGATTCGGGAACCCTGCGGACTTGTCTCCTCTCTTTCAAAACCTGAGTCCAGCAACCCTCCAGGCCCCCTGTCTGAACTTCCTGTGCTGGGGTTCTGCCTTCCACTGCAAAGCAGAGCTGCTCCCCTGAAGCTGTGAGTGGTTCTTTCTTTGCAAACCCCTCCTGGACCTCTCAGCGGTATTCACTTGACTCCTCTCTTGGCTTTTGCTTCCCCTGAGCTTCTGGGAACCCACCTTGTCTGGGTCCTCTGTGTCCTGCATCTGTTCCCCCCTTGTCTTCTCTGCCAGTTCCTCACCCTCCATTGGTGCCCTGGGATTTCCAGGGGCCCTCCCATCCTGTCCTCTCTCAAGGAGCGCACATGTGCTTGGTATCAGGGTCGCCCCTACCTTGCTGCGGCCCCTCCAGCCCTCCCCTGTGTGCAGGAAGGGCTCAGCAGCAGATCCTTCCACCACCACCCTGTGCTTAAGTCGAACGAAAGCCAGCTGCGCTGCTCACTGGCAGCCAGGTCCTGTTCGCAGCCTCCCTCGTCTCCTTCCTCTTGCCACTCTCCTTTCCGTCTTCCCAGCTAGAAGCCTTGAGGTTATGCTGGAGTCTCCTTCCACCTTCAACTTCTAGAATGAACTGGCTACTCCTGCTTGCCCTGTGCGTCTTTGATTGTTCACTTTCTCTCCGTTTCCTCTGCGGTCACCCTCTCCAGCCGCAGTTTACCTCCCCGTAGGATTTCTCTCCTCTTTCCCACCCCCATGGCTCACAATCTATCTTGCATACCATTGCCAGCACAATCTTGCTGAAACACTGCTTTCATCCAGTAAACATCTCTGGCTGGCTTTCAACGCCCCTCCCCGTCAACTCCCACCTATAAAAAATAGTTACAAAGCAAATTTGTAAAATAATTTTCCCCATGTGTATCTAAGATAAGCCAAGGACTCCACTTCTTCCTGTGGGACCAGCCCTTCTCTGAGAAAGCCTCCCAGCCCACAGAAATCGGTGGAGCATGGGGACCTGTGAGAGTTTGGCTCTCTAAATTCAAGTTTGCCTCTCTATGGAGGCTGTGGCTGCTGGCAATGTTCTCAGGGCTGTGGCTGAAAAAAAAAAAGAGACCACCGTCACTTCTGCCTGGACTTCAAGTGGCCCCCAGCTGGAATTCATAGAGGCCAGCCCACCTGGCTGGAGGGGCAAGCCATCTGGAAGGGCTGTAATCAAATTCTGTTATCAGCTCCTGGAGTGGCTCTCCTCTCCTGGGTACAAGGTATGCCAAGCCCTTCCCCCTCCTCCTGAGGAGGCTTTCGGAAAAGAAACGACTGGATCCGTTCAACAAAAACAGATGACTGATGACGAAAGGATGAGAGACTCCCCTGTTGAGATGACACAATCAGGCCACGGGGGTTCCTCATCTCACGGGGCGGTGGGGGGCGGTGGTAGAGGGGTGGAGGGGGGCGGCTACCAGCTCCCATGGGCATCACATTGGAGACTGTGCGATGCAGAGCTGGACCCCTCGTGGCTCAACCAGAGATGCACCCCTTTGCCTCCATCCCAAGAAAAAGGGCTTTGGTCTCACCTTTGTAGTTCTGGGCCAGGTTGTGGCCCATCTGCCTAATTTATTTCTTATACGCAAGGAGAAAAGGAAGAGCAAAGGAGCAGAAGAAAAGCAGCCCAGGAAAAGTCAGTTTGTTTTCACTTCATCTGGTGACCTACACTTGAAAAAGACCAAGTGTACCCTTCACAGGTCTCTCCGATGTGTGTTTGGTAGAGAGAACTAACCCATCTGATGTTGAACCTTTCAGCAATTTTTACTTCCGGTCACCTTGCTGTCCCTCATAAGACTGTAACCTTGAGTTTAGAAGTAGAGATTCTGGAACCCCCTGCTAAGGTATTATGGAGCCCCCCCCCTCCCCTCCCTGCTCCAGACAGATGAGTTGACAGTCCAGGGCAGTTAATAAGCTTCGACAAGGCTCCTTACCTCCTTCTGTGCTTATCTTGCTTGACCCAACGTTCAACCAAGAAGGCGGGCAGCACTTAAGGTAATTGGGGCCAAACAAATGAGAACGCTTTTAACATAAACACTCTGCTGACATTGGAGGGATGGTAACACACTCTTGTGAGAACAACAGTGAGATGAGTTACAGGCAGAAACAACTCTGTCATCCCTGTCAGTGGTCATAAAATTGCCCAGTTATTTATTAGTTGATTTACTGTGTCCGCCATGTTTTAAAGCATCCCTGTGGCTCTTCATAAAGAGTAAACCAAAATCAAATTAAAATGAAGGGAAGTTCCACTTATCCTGAAAGCTGGTTTGCAGTTGTGCAGAGGAGCAAATCAACAGGAGTGGGGCATGAACTGTATTTGTTCAGAATCGTGAGCTGTGGGCGTGCTCAGTCTTGGACTGGCTCACGTGATGAATTGGCTCTGTCATTCCCATTCTGTATTTAGGGGAATGCAGCAGTGGACTCTGTGATGAAGCCTCCTGCATCAATGGTGGCACCTGTACAGCGAGCAAAGCTGACTCCTACATCTGCCTCTGTCCCCTGGGATTTAGAGGTCGCCACTGTGAAGATGGTGAGAAAGAAGCAAGCTGATGACGATTTGTCTGCATTGTTAATTCATGTTGATGTAATTTTTCATCAATGTACTTTTAGCAAGGTCCCATATATTTTTATGGGATTAATGTTGCTTTGTTGGGAGGGACGGGAGAATCTTTTCTTTAACCAGGTTGGAGGGTCTTCAAGTGTCAGAGTGGCAAACCAGCCGAAGACAAGTTCTCTTTAAGATGGTCCTGGGCCAGGCTTTGGTGGGCTCATCTTGGCCCTCAAATAGCTTTGAAAAGCCTATATTTGTGTAGTTTGTGTCAGAATTTGAAGCATTCACAGCCCAGGCTCCTTAGAATATCTGATGGTTTCAGAGCAAATGTCGGGAAGGTACACACAGAAGCATTAACAATGTGATGTTTCTTTCTCTTTGTACTGTTCTGCCGAATTATTCTACCTCTCAATACTGTATATATTGATTATATTTATCTATATACACATATATGTATACATACATATAAACACACACGCACACACAAATACACACATATAATAATGGAAATTTTGAAAGATTTAAAAGATTTTGGAAAACCCAAGCAGGGTTGAACATGTTTTAACTTTTCGGCCAGTGATTCAGATTTGACCCTAAGACACCATCCCGGGGAAAAGTTTTTTTTAACACTGTATAATCTCAAATTTCTCGTCACCTAGAAGAGGGCGTTGTGAGTCAGAGTAAGCCAAAGCCATTACACACCGTCCTCATATTTCTGTAGCCTAACACACTAACAGTTGATCTTTGCTCACATCACTGAAGGTCAGTGGGAGGAGTGTGCTCTGCCCCACGTAGTCATTCGGGGACGCAGACGCCTGCCTTCTAGTGGCTCTGCTGGGGCCTTAGAATCCTCCACTGATTCCTGCATCCAGCCAGCAGGGGAAGAAGAAAGAGCAAGTGGAGGATGGAGGGAAGCTTTAGGGGCCAGACCTGGAATTCTCTGTACTACTCCCACCCACATTCCAGTGGCCAGACCTCAGCTACACCACCCACCTATCTTCAGAGCAGCTGAGAAATAGAGTTTAGTTCCAGGAGGAAAAGAAGATGCTGGTTCTGGCACGGAGGGATTTCTAACCACGTGCTTGTTCTTTCAGCTTTCACCTTGACCATTCCTCAGTTCAGAGAGTCTCTGAGGTCCTACGCTGCAACACCCTGGCCACTGGAGCCCAGGCACTACCTTTCCTTCATGGCGTTTGAGATCACGTTTTGGCCTGACTCGGATGATGGTGTCCTCCTGTACAGCTATGACACGGGCAGCAAAGACTTCCTGTCTATCAACATGGCAGGGGGCCACGTGGAGTTCCGCTTTGACTGCGGCTCTGGGATTGGTGTTCTCAGGTAAGGGCTGAGACCGTCAGGGTCGCCCTCCCTTCAAAAGCCAGACAACAGTCACTTTGCAGAAAGACAAATTTGTCATCTACCAGCTTGCTCTCTTCCTGTCTTCCTTACACAGTTATCTTTTCTGAAACCTGTCCTGATTCATACAGATGACGTGCTTCCCAGAGATGATGCTCTCCTACTGGCAAGGTTTCCTCTTCTCGAATAACTACCCAGTCCTCTCCACCTAAGATCATGCAACGCAATCAGCAGAAACGTGATAAATAGTCAATCAGTACCTTGCTCAGAGCATCACTTAGTGGGCAAATATATGACAACTAGTTTAAAAAGCACCAATAGAAATGTAATGAACAGAAATTTCCTTGGTGACCTCACTTTATTTATTTATTTTGTGCATTGGAAGTGTGTATCAGGGCCACAATCACTTAAAAACAAAGCTTCCCTGGTGGCGCAGTGGTTGAGAGTCCGCCTGCCGATGCAGGGGACACGGGTTCGTGCCCCGGTCCGGGAGGATCCCACATGCCGCGGAGCGGCTGGGCCCGTGAGCCACGGCCGCTGAGCCTGCGCGTCCGGAGCCTGTGCTCCGCAGCGGGAGAGGCCACAACAGCGAGAGGCCCGCGTACCGCAGAAAACAAAACAAAAACATCAAATTATTATTCATCTTCCCTATTCCCCACGAACGTCCTATTGATAGAAGCTTAACAAGTTGTTTCCATTAGATTAAGAGGATTTCAAAAGGACACCGACTTCCTCACCAGCATTCAGTGAACCCACCGCGGCATTACATTACACGTGCTCATACGTGAATAAATACATAATTGTCACGTAATCATTCATTGCTGTGCATCGATAGACTGGGGTGGCCTCGCTTTAAATTTTAACTTTTCTCTTGCTTTATTTCTTTGGTGGCAACTAGTTATTTGGCATGGCTCTTATTCTCCATATAGAGAAGCTGATAGCAAATCACCAGCAACTGCAAAGACCCGTCCCTGACCATCGTGCTCGTGAAGGCTGTGTGATGACTGGATTCAAAAGCATGGAGTAACTGAGTGCTTCTAAAGCGCTTGCTGGTGTCTGCGGGTTGGGTTCTGGGTTATCAAAACTTTCCTTCTGCTATCTAGTTTGTACTATTCATTGACTTGGCAGGTGGATTGTTCCCATACAGTGTGGTAGCATCCTTGTGAATCCCTCAGAGCCTGCAGCTGGGAGGTGCAGATATTCTTCTTACTTGTTTATGTCTCCCTCTTCTCACCGTGTTCCTCCCATGGTAGTTTTTACCTTCAAGCGGGAGGCCTGCTAATCTAATGCAGACATGCCTCATTTGGTGATTTCTTCGCTTTTGAAACCCACTGTGGTGTTTTGTTCAACAGTGCCCTGCAGCAGGAAATCGGTTAGTCTTTGTCGTTGTGTTAAAGGAAATCGTGGGCTGTATTGAATCACAATTCATATTGCTAGACTGTCGTTTCTAGAAAGAGTTTGTCGCTGAGATCTTATAGCCACGCGTTGCCCTTAATTGCTGATCATTTTTCATGGCTGATGGGAAGTGCTTACTGCATTAGGTTTCAACAATTCTTTAAAAGGACAGTTCATTTTTGTCCTCAAGAGCTGAATTCCTACACATCAGTGAGCCCTCCCACCTTGGGGAATGGACACTTTCGTACCTCTGGTTATGCAAGAACATCCTATGTCTCAAGACAACTTTGGTGGGTATTTAATTGATTCAATTTACATATGATTATGCAAAACAGTATAAGCAATTCACTTGGAGTTATTTGTCAGGTCGAGAAAGGAAGACACCTTGAATATCACCTTGTACTTTCAAACGGCCTCTTCCTGGATGAGGAATGAACAGAAAGGGCTGGGGAGGGTCAGGGCTCATCGGCCCTCCTCCTGCACAGATTGCCCCCTGCCCCCTGCACCTCGACAGTGGCAGCTCCAGCTATGGGGTCACAGTGGAACCTTAGAAGTCCAGCATTTCCCTCGTTCATAATTCTGTTTCTATTTTTGACAAGAGGTGTTTTTCTTTTTTTTTTCACATAAGTTATTGCTTCCCTGCCTGTCAGGAAGGGCTCCTGGAAAAAGAATTCTTTAGTATTAGGTGTGAGGAAAAGGAGGCAAGAACTCAGAGATTCCAAGGAACAGACCACCGTCTGCTCCCCTGGGCCATCCCCTCTCCAGTGTAACTGACCACACTGATCACGGTTAGTGTTTCAGACGGCCCTTTGGAAGATGTTTATTCTGAAAACCAGTTCCAAGACTTCCTGCTTCATTAAGACAATTCAGTGAAAGGCTCAACTACAGGAAGCTGCGGAATTGGCCAAATCATTTTCACTTTAGGAAAAGGATAAGGTGGTCTGAACTTGATTCAAAAATCGAGACAACTGCAGTGAGCTCATAATGGCCACAGTCAGTATCACTCTGCTGAGGGAAGCAGCGTGTGGACGGGGAATGACCTCTACGCAACAAGAACAGGCTCAGGCGCCGTTAGTTATTATGGAGATGGGCTGCTGAACAAGATCTTTATTGCATATTGATGGAGCCAAGGTGATTAAATTCTAATTGCTAAGGACAAACGGCAAAAGCATTTGCCAGAGCAAAAAATCAAGTGAGAGGGTGGAGACCTTTCAATAATTGTGCCCATTGGTATTCCTGGTGGGTTTCTAAAGATGATCCAGGACCAAAAAATAATTGGGAGGTTCAGTGAAGGCCAGGAACTATAGAGACATCTTTAGAAACACAAATGCAATACTTATACCCTTTTACACACCTCGCTGTAAAATGTAACATGTAAAACTCTTATCAATATCATTTAAACTTCAAGTGTTTCCATCTTGAATTAATAACTGAATTTTTAAAGTACTTTTAATCCTTTTCACAATATCAGACAACATGGAAACTGTCCCCCCAGTATTTTATTATGAAACATTTCAAACATATAGAAAAGTTGAAAGAATTGTACAGTAAAATCCTTATACCCACCACCTATAGTCTACAATTAACATTATACTGTATTTGCTTTATCATGTATCTATTTATCTTTATATTCCCCATCCATCCATCCATCCATCCATCCACCCATCTTATTTTTTATGCATTTCAGAGGATGCTACAGATATCAGTACATCAAGGAATCTGTTTTACATCATAGCCTATACAATTTTCTCTTCTCCAAAGCTTGTATGCAACTCTGATCACACTTTAGCCTCATGTCACCCCTCATCTTGAAAACCAGACTGATCCTACCCCCATTTCAGACTTGTTGTAAGGAATAAGTAAAATGATAAGTGAGATACTTACTCCTTCCATGAAGGGGTCCCATGAATGGAGCTAGCACTGCTGTGTTTACCAAGAAGGAAAGAAGGTTTTTCTTTTTGCTGAAGGGAGTGAGGTGCCTAAGGTTGGCACGTTTCATGTGAGCCAGATTGGTGGACATTATTTCTAACACCAGTGGTGCTAACCCATGCTCAGTTTCCTTCCTTCAACAGGAGTGAAGAGCCCCTCACCCTGGGTCACTGGCACGAGCTGCACGTGTCCCGCACAGCGAAGAATGGTATCTTACAGGTGGATAAGCAGAAAATAGTGCAGGGAATGGCGGAGGTAAGAAGGACATCACCTCCTAACGGCTTATGTGAATGGGGTTACTATTTCCTCCCTGTCTTGGAGATGAAAGTGGCAGCATAATGATTAAACACAGTGCCAGTTTACCTGGGCTAACAACCAAGCTTCCCACTGGGCAAGTTCCTTAGCTTTGCAATTCCTCAGCTGTGAATGGGGATGATAATAAGAGGGGCCTCATAGGGTGGTTGGAAGGATGGAGTGAGCTAATGCAAATGTAGCGCTCAGAAAACGTGCCCGGCTACCTCCATGCCTCCCAACCTCTGCCTTTGTTCATGTTCGTGTATAAGGAAGTTCAGAACACAACTCCAAGGCAGGGCCAGAGATGGGGTGGTCGCACAGCTGACAGACTCTGAAACCAGACTCACGGGGCTCAAAATCTAGCTCTATTCCTCACCAGTAGTGTGAACTCAGACCAGTCCCTCGATCTGCCGAGTTGGTGTTTTTGCATCTAAAAAATGGGGTAGCGGTGACACAATAATGCTGTCTCAAAGAGTTGTGAGAATTAGGATAACTGTATTTATAGAACACCACAGAACCTGGCATATGACCAGCACTTTGTAGCTTTACTTATTGTTAAAAGTGTGCTATCATAATAGCCTCAAGAGCTCAGAATTTCCACTCAAGTTTATAACTTTCATCCATGATTTTATTTCCAAGGTCACGTTCAAAGGAAAAATGACACTTTTAAGGAGGGATAAGAGAGATTTGCTTTAAACTGTAACCTACTGCGATTCTGTACACGTACGAAATTTACAGACCCCTAAAACAGAGGGGACTTTAGATTAGCCAGGATGTTCATTACAACAGTCTTCATTTTGTGCATCACAGATTTAAAGGGGGCATCGATGAATGTGGGTGTTCTGATAAGAAAATGAATTGATAGAGAAAAGAAAAGGAAGGAAAAAGGACTCTTGGTGGTAAGAGGTATTTGGTTGAGGAGGAGAGAAGAAAGAAGGACACACATGTCAAGCAGGCAGCTTTGGGGACAGCAATGGTGGGTGGTCCTATCAGAACCAAGGACCTCCTTGGGAATTAGAAGAATCAGAAACTGGGCTCTGCTTCAAGAGGCGAGTACCTTAGAAAACATCCCATATATATTTGTGGAAGGAAGGAAGGGAGAGGGGAAGGGAGGGAGGAAAGATGGAAGGAAGAAAGGAAAGCAGGGAAGAAGGAAGGGAGATGAATAAAAGAAAATGGATTTTAAAGGGAGAATTGGAGTCACTTCTTGTGCAATCCAGAAAACTCTAACAGCTGACTTTAGTCCAAGACAAGATCAGAAGCTCACAAGCATAGATCTGACTGTGTGTTGACTTAATAATATAAATTCAAAAAAGCATTGTATCGCTTTAGGCTCTAGTTACCAACATCTGTAAAACAGTAACAAAAACTTAGGATGGGCATGTTTGTAAATAGTGGGCTTAAGGCCTTTGATTCTAAATAAGGAACACTTCAGGAGGCAATATTTACCATTGGGATCCTACAGTGAAGAGGTAACACAAAGGTAGAAACCACACCTCGGGTTCTGTTACTAGCACGCCAGGGAATGAGAATTAGACAATATGGTAAAATTGTGTCCTCCCTATTGGCTATTTGAACGGATGGAGCTGACCGGAGGGCTGCCCACCTGGAAAGCAGTATAAACATGTGGGAGGGAAGGCGTGGCTGTTGTGTGTGCATTTGAGGGTGGTTCTTGTGAGGCTGCCTTGAGACAGGAGTGGGAAGGCCCAGTGCTTGAGCTCCAGGAGTTAAACCTTAATCAGATCACCCCGCAGGGGTCTCTGCCCCCGCAGCTGTCCTGTCCACACCATGTTCAAAGGTGTGGCTGAGAGGGGCAGAGGTCTTGGAGTTTAGAGATGGGTGGGGTCAGGGATTAGAGGATACTGTTGGGGGCTATCCCAGCCCCTAAGTATCCGGGCCAGATTCCTGGCTGCACTGAGAAACACCAACAGTGCACGGTGAGCCAAGCTCTGCAGACTTAGAGGAAAGGCAGTGCTTCCCAGGACTTCAGGAAAACCCAACCAGGGCGTTTGCTCAGGTTTTCCAACCACTCCCAGCCGAACGGAAGCGGCAGATCCAGGCCCAGAGCATCCCACCGCAGAACAGGCCCACCTTGGTGGGTCTGTTTGTTTATCTCCTGCGGTCCTGCGTGGGCGTGGCCGCTGCAGCTCCGCCTCTTATCCACCGGCGGGCGGCGGGGGAGGATTTTGATGGGCAGCCAAAGGGGACGCCTCTCACCCCATGAGACCCCGCCCCGTTCGCTGGACCCAACCAAGAAACTGCAAGTGTTTTCAAAACAGCCTGCTTCTCTGAAATCCCTTTGACCCTGCAGGCTTCCTGCTTTCCTCCTAGTATTTTATTTTAAAGACAAGATGGAGATGGGTTCATGGGGGTGTGTGCTGACAGCTCCTGTCTGGTTCTCTGTTTCATGGGGCCACAAGAATTCGCGAAAGCCCTTCTTTGATGACCACCCCCCTCCACCTCCCCGCTAGTTAAATAAGAACCCTCGAAGCTGCCTGAAGGTTATTGACGGAAGGCAGTTCAATCTGTTTAATCCAAGACCTCTCTGCTTCTACCTGGCTGGACCCCACCACCGTGAGTGCTCCCCTAGACGGAGCTCCCTCCTCTCTGTCTCCATCGCAACCAGACCCCAAATCCATTCTCCTCCCTCTGGCCAGTTATATTCCTAAAACACAGTCTGACTGTTCTCTCTCCTGCTGAAAACTCATTGCTTTTGGGGTGAAGTGCACATTTCTATCCATGCATGATCTGGTCCCTCCTTGCCTCTGCCCTATACCTACGTGCCCCCTAAGCCCTGAGTTTGTCCAGTGTCTTTCTCAGTTCTAACTCTCCCTAGTGCACCTCCCCACTCCCTATGTCTGCGGTAGAGTATGTGATGCCCCCTCCCCGCCAGGTGCACCCAGAGTCACAGGGTTAATCTTACCTGCCCGGCCACTTGTCTGTGTTCACCCCAGCGTAAGCCTCTGGAGGGCAGGGACCTGGGCTTTCTTATTTACTGTTGTCTGTGCAGCACTTAGTCCCTGGGACATAGTAGGTACCCAATAATATTTGTTAAATTATTAAATGCTGCTATTGTTTGTATTTCTTTTGATCATAAAGGAAGCAATAACTTAAGTTACCCAAAGTGTGTTCATCCCCCAGAGGTCTCAAATGTGTGTTATCTTAGGACATTTTACTTAACTAAGACTCATGTTTAAAGGAGTTTAGACATTACATCTCACACACAGCTTGTTATCTAGCCCAGCCATTGGGTTTAGGCTGTTGAAGTGACCAGAAGCAGGGGAAGCCTTTGGGGATTGACAATGGGGAATTCTCCGAGAAGCTGGAAAAGAATTTCTCTGCCCTTGTATCTGATAACAAGGAATGCCTCCCACCTGCCATGCCTTCCCTTTCTCTTGGCCTAAAGAGGTTCTATCTTTACCATTAGGGAATATGCATCCAACTCTAGGCAAAGTGCTAAATCAGTGGAATCTCAGCCGCCAGGACAGGCTAGACCGTACTGCACACATAAGCCCCAAATAGCACCACCTTATAATAAGGAGTTATTTCTCACTCACGCTACATGTCCGTCAATGGTCAGCTGCAGCTTTCATCTGAGACCCAGGCTGAAGGAACAGGGCGTGGGGGAAGAGGGCATGGCGAACCCCTCCTGGCTCCGAAAGCCTCTGCCCAGAAGTGATTAACTTCTCTTCTGCTCATGCTTTATTGACCAAAGCAAGTTACATAGCCCCACTTGAGATTGACAGGTTGGAGGTAATCTTCCTACAGGGAGAGGGGTATTGATGATGGAACAGTCTACCATATTCGCTCGCATTTTATAGATGATGAAACTGAGTCTCAGAAATGTCAAGAAATCTACTTTCCAACAGGTGGTAAGTAGCAATGCAAAACAAGGCAAAGGTCAAGCCAATGTGTAGACAGATTGTCATGATGAGTCTTGAGACTGTCTCTGCCATTTGCTCCCTGACAGGAAACCAAAGGTACCTTTGATAATCTTAACCATTTTTTTCTGAAGTTGCACCGTGTTTTGTTTTTTCACCTGTTGGCAGGGAGGCTTCACCCAGATTAAGTGCAACTCGGACATTTTCATTGGCGGGGTCCCCAATTATGATGACGTGAAGAAGAACTCAGGCATCCTCAAGCCATTCAGTGGGAGCATCCAGAAGGTACAGGCTTCCCTTCCTCATGTGTATTGTGTGACCTTGACTGCAGACAGTGGAATTGAGCACTTTGATCCGTGCAACCTGCTGCACCCAAGAAAAAAAGCTTGAGAAATTTTTAACGTTTTTCAAACTATATTTTTTAGTGCTCAGAGCATACCTTTGCAACCCCACTTTCTTATAACGTCTGCTCCTAGCTATATCCAGCAGACATCCCATGAATGCAACTCAGTGAAGATGAATTTGTACGACACATCCACTAAAATATCCTGGGATTGTTGAGGAAGGCACCTGGCACCGGGTCGCTATAGACACTTCTACAAAAGGGAAGGAAGAGGATGGAGTCTCATAGGGACTCCTGCTTCTCTTTGGGGTCACTTTGCTTTCTGCTCAAGGCAAGACCCAATTGTTTTCACCGCCTCCACTTCCATCCCCACCACCATGATTTAACAGTTGTTCATCAATCAAGTAACCATATTCTTGAGCACAGATTAAAGTCCTTCCATAGAAGGTCTGGAAAAAATCCACTCAGCTAGTAAAAGAGACAGGATGCTGACCCCATTCATATCTGTCTCTTATTCCTTCTCTTGGGGCTGTCCATGATCCCTCCAGTCATGAGATTATGTTCTGTCTGCAACAGATATGCAGGTTGACCCACCAACCCAGATTTCCAGGACCACTAAACACTGGGGGAAAAGAATTTGAAGAAAAGCACATCCGTTTCCTGGATGTTAGCAGTATCCTGTTTCCCTTCAGCAACCACTGGAGGAATGGGGGCCACTGATCCCTTTCAGACCTGCAGCAAAGCCAGGAGAGGCTAAGATGATGGAGGGACAGTGAGAGAGGAGGGTCCTCTCACGATTTGCACATCTGGACTCTGGGAAGGGCCCCTGGGGCTCTGTACTCTGTGTCCCAGTGTAGGGCCCAGAAAAGGGGCCCAGTCAATATTTCCTCTCTCTGGTGTGCTTCCCTTTGTTGCTGAACTGTGATATCAGTGACACCTCAGTTCGGACCGTTGTCCCTCCCGGAATGGGGGTGGGGACATGGCCCCCATCGGCCACGTGTGTAATCACGGGTTTGAAATTAGGAAGCAGGCTGAGGTGCTAAGAGGCTTCACCTTCCTTCCTACTGTGTCAGGTTTTGCCCCTTCTTCACACAGCACGCACAAGCCTTTCCTCCTTACTTCCTGGAAAGGCCCTCCTCCCCTCCCAGTGACCCAGTCATCGGCTCTGCCTTACCCTGCAGTGGGCCGCGCCATTTGTGGCTTGTTCAAGTCCTGCATTCTCAGCAAGAAGAGGAGACTGCGGAAAGATTCTGGCTCTTGTCTGGCAGCTTCTGAGATTCTGGGCTAGGGAAAAGTTTTCTCCCAGCTCTCCTGACACTCTCTAACAACTAGGCAAACCTGTGGAAACATGGGTTAGTGGCTGGAAGTGCCATTGCTAATCTCTTAGGACCCCCTGCGTGGTGGACCTTCCCCGGGGATGTGTTCTCTCTGTCTCTGAGTTCAGCAAAGCCTGTGAGACTTTGAAGTACCAACAGCTCAGGGCCAAGGCACGCTCCGTTTATTTGTGTCTGGGGAGACCAGTAACCTCACCCTATAATTCATCAGTTTCACTAAAGCCCCATTGCAGGGAAAAAGGGTGAGAGCAAAGAGCTCTCTCGTCCGGTGAATATGCACAGCGGTGCTAAGAATGTGACCTGAGTTTCACTCCAGGGAAGAGGATGTGAACGGGAAGGGGATTCCAGAGTGTCAGGGGAGGGAGGAAGCAGGAGGGAGGGGGGCAACTGCGGGGCCGAGATGGTGGAGCCGGAAGAAGCGGCAGAGAACTCTGGCCAGGACGATACAGCAGTACAATTCCACCGCCTCCAGACGCGGTCACCCGCCCTTGGATTCCTGCCTGTGTAGCATTTTGTGTTGTGTTCTTCCTTACTCGGCTTTACTAGCAGCATCTCTCAACCTTGGCCGCACCTTAGAATCACCTGGGAAGCTTTTTAAAGTTACCGATGACTCCATCTCACCCACAGAGATTCTAGTTCACTTGATCTGGGTGGGGCTTGGGCATGAGTATATTTCTTAACCCTCCCCCCCTCCACCTCGGGTGATTCTAATATGTAGAATTAGAACCCTAATTTTGTGGTTATTGGGACTTCTTTACGACCTCACTGAGTAGCCAGGTCTTCCAGAGACAGAGGAAGCTGTGTGTATAGTCTTAGAAGCGATGCAGAGTGTCCCAAACACCAGATGTAATCACTGCAGTGCCTGTGTTGCTTACAAGACTATAAAAGCAGCAACCGGACTTTCTCTCTTTTGTTTAAAGCTCCCTCACTAGGCATAGTTCACATTAGCTGAGGAAAGCTGTAGAAGACCGAAAAGACGTTTTCTGAATTCCTGAATTTCTTTACATTTTCTTTCCTAAGATCATCCTGAATGACCGGACCATCCACGTGAAGCATGACTTCACGTGGGGCGTGAACGTGGAGAATGCAGCTCACCCCTGCGTGGGAGCCCCCTGTGCCCACGGGGGCAGCTGCCGACCCAGGAAGGAGGGCTATGAGTGTGACTGCCCCTTGGGCTTTGAGGGGCTGCACTGTCAGAAAGGTACACCACAGGGAGGGTAGGGGGAGAGGGGACTCAGGTGCTGCTTCTGGGAGCAGAGGGAATGGACAGACCGTTTGGGGGACCAGTTGATAACCCCGGGACAGCCATACCAATTATTTTTATCAGTGATGTCAATAGCATATTAGATGATGAATTATATATAAACTACTGTAATTATTTAATAAGAATTAAAATGTTGAAACAGTTCTGTAAACAGTAAGTAAATAGTTCCCCCCCCCTTCCCCCAACCTACTATGGCTCCTTCCCTGAGAATCCCCTCATGTTCTAGCAATCAAAAGGTTAACTCATAGGGAATTCCCTGTTGGTCTAGTGGTTAGGACTCAGCGCTGTCACCTCTGGGGCCCGGGTTCGATCCCTGGTCAGGCAGCCAAATTAAAAAGAAAAAGTTTAACTCATAATATGGGTAAGGGAGGTTTCCAGGACTCCTACCTCTGAGCCACTCCCAGAGCCTATCCTGACAGGTGGATGCCTGGGCTTTATAGACTGATAAATATCTTGACTAAATATTTTTGACTCCTATCTGTGAATGCTGCAAAGAGAAATCTGAGACATCTTGCCAAGTATGGCAAAATCTGAATTGTACGTTAGTTGCTCCAAACAAAAATATGAATAACCTTCTGTAGACTATTTTCCATGCTGTATATGTTTCCTCTGTACCTCCGTTTCCTCATTTGTAAAATGGGAATAATAGAGCAATGTTGTCTAACACAGAGAATTGTAGCATAGGTTAAATGAGGCAGTGCACATTCCTTAGAAGAACGCCTGGTAAGTACTCAACCGATATTAAACGTTATTATTCTTGGTGAGAAAAATAAAATGCACCAGCAAGTGCTGTGAGCCGCTCAGCATTCAACCTGCCCTTGTGTGAAATCAGAGCAGGTCCCAGACCACAGGCCCTGCTGGCCTGAGCTTTCCACACCCGCTCAAGGAGGCGGAGGCCACGGCGGGTCCAGAGGAGGCCTGCGTTGTGCAGCTGTGTCATGTCGGGCCATGTGGGCCTTCTTGTTAGAATGCCAGGTGACTTCACCTGTCTGGGAACTAATTAGAAAAGGTAGACAGGCCTGAAGGAAAGAAGGCTGCCATCCTAAGCGAAGGAACGTGCTCTTTCTCCTTCCTATTTTTTTCCAGGTTCCTGATTTTTATTAGAAGTGGGGCTTAGAGGAAAACAGGTAGCTATTTCGGGACATGGAGTGCTAGGAGAGGTTGTTTTGCAGCAGTCTTGGAAAATATGAAAGGTGCCCGTTTTCCAGCTGGAAGACTGGGTAGTAGTATAGTGAAATGAATTTTGAAACCTGCATGGCAAATCATATGAAATATATTTATTAACATAGCTCACCTTGGTGACGAACCCCCAAAGAAGAAGAACATTTGTGAATGAGCCTGATTATAATTCTAACAAGCAAATCACTGTTTAGCTAATAGCAGGTACTTGAAGAGGTTCCGCTCGAGTGGCCCGTTCACTCTGAAAACCGGATCTGGATTTCACACATCAGCATTTGAATCTCCTAGGTCTTCAATTTTACTGCAGGCAAATTCAAGCTTGCTCCTGCCTTAAATGCTGACACTAACGGGCAATATATAAAGTCCAAGCTTAAGTGAACGTTTAGCTTTGGGAATTAAAGGAGGAAGGAGAGGATAATTTGTGATCGTGTTAACCCTCCTTTCCTGTTACAGAACATGAGCCATACAGATATAAAGTGCTCACGTGCATAGCTTTGTAACTATAGGCTCGGGTTCAATGAGAAATAAATCTCCCCAGAGTAAAGAGTCAGATCGCTGATGAGGGCCTGGGCCTCCTGACGAGATCCAAGGGGATGGACAGTGGCGCGGGGACTCTGGGGGGCTTTCAGGGCTCTTTTTCTTCAACATCCTAGGCTAGAGCCAAGATTAAAATCCAGGCGGAACATCAGCTGTCCTTGTGTTATGTCAGTATTTCCTTGTGCTTTGAAGTAACGATGGTGTTTCTGGCAAAATGGCAACTGTTACCAATCCTAAGAAGATTCGTCTATAGGACGTGTGGCCCGTGTCACGTAACAACTTCTCCTGTTACGTGGCTTGAGAGGATTAGTGGGACTCTGGGTGCAGGTTAGGACCGTTAAGGACAATTTTTCCAGGCCCCAGCAGGCTCTCAGAGGTGCACAGTTACCAAACAGACTTTTGAGGTGAGCCTCTAGTCCTGAGTAAGGATCGGAAATAAAGGGAGGAGAGCTGGTTCCACAGAGATGCAGGAGAACAGTCTAAAAGTTGGGGGATATTCTTCGTGAGAGAGACAAAGAATGGTTAGAAGCCAGCCTCGGTTGTCAAAGAGGATCCTGTCTGATCCAGCAAGGTGATTTTTTTTTTTTTTTTGCGGTACGCGGGCCTCTCACTGCTGTGGCCTCTCCCGTTGCGGAGCACAGGCTCCGGACATGCAGGCTCAGCGGCCATGGCCCACGGGCCCAGCCTCTCCGCGGCATGTGGGATCTTCCCGGACCGGGGCTCGATCCTGTGTCCCCTGCATCGGCAAGCGGACTCTCAACCACTGCGCCACCAGGGAAGCCCTAGCAAGGTGATTCTTAGCCTCATATATTTAAGGGTTGTTTCCCTCCCTGATTAAGAGATCATGCTTCAAAAGCACGAACCTTTCCTAGCACTCCCCACAGAAGTTAAACCAGCCCTTTTACAGTGAGCAGCATGTTGTAGAAACCCCCAGCACCAGGCCTCGCTCAGTCCATACCAAGGCGTACCTTCTCCGTCAGGAAATTAGCTTCTGGGATCCTCAGTGAGTCTGGTTCTTTCTACCCTCCTCAGAGGCGAATTCCACTGGGACCCTAGTCGGGAGATTGGAAACTTGTTCTCACCTCTTGGTGGTGCAGACAGGCTGGGGCCAGAAACTCAGACAAATCCTGGAGCGGTCCAGGCTCCCAGACCATCAGAACATTGAGGGTGTTTTGGGGCCCCCATCCTGCCCTTTGTCTCTGGAAAAATCAGAGGCAGGAGCAGAGCCTGAGCCCAGATGGAGGTGGGCACCGGGCTCCCACTGAAATGCAGAAAAGTGAGCCTCTCTGTCCCCAACCGGGGCAGGAGGAGCCAGAGGGTCTTCCAACTCCCAGCCGCGACTCCAGGTGCCAGCAAAACCCACGGGGCTTGGTTGTCCCCTCACCTTCCATTCGGGGGCTGTCACTCTTAGGTGCCTTCTTCCACCTCAAACCTCAGCACCCCATGCTGTACCCCAGTACCGAGGCCCTTTTCTCACCTCACCAGAGGGATGTCCAAAAGCCACCTTCTGGGCTTCCCTGGTGGCGCAGTGGTTGAGAGTCCGCCTGCCGATGCAGGGGACATGGGTTCATGCCCCAGTCC